GACAAAAAATACCAAATATGGTCGAAAATGGTTGCTAAAACAAGTCAAAAAAAACATCAAATTAAGTCATCATTTTTAATTTTATCAAGTGTTTTAATATCGGGTGACTGTAAATGATTGTCATTTTTTCAAGTTGATGTCAAATCTAAAGCTTTAGTTTGGCAACCTTGACTTTCAAATTCAAACGTCAAACTTTTATACATATATAAGAAATTTAGATGAATTACTGTCGTCCATAGATTTTTTTGTCACAAACATTAGTAGTTTTCCGATATTTTGCAAAAATTAATTAAAAACTACCCAAAAAGGTATTGACTTTGACCTATTTTTGCATTTTTTTAGCGTTTAACACGATTTTGAGCAGACTTGTGAGATTTATGTAATAAATGTGAATCTTCGACAGTAATAAAAAAATTATTTGGTAACTTTTATAGCTCAGATGTGGTGAATTTAATTGTTTTGAGCTGGCCACACTGCACATAATAATGTAGCGCCATCTTATCACGTTTATTTGAAAAAAAAATTTTTTAATGAGTAATAATAAATCACAAAGCAGTTTTTACTGTTTGCTGCACTTTTTTCTAATCACTGTATCTTTAATTAATGAATTTAATTGAGGGGGGGATGATGTCAAGGTCAAGTGTCAAAAAATGACATCTAACCTAACAAAAAATCCGGTTTTAAAATAAAAAATGCAGCCAAATCGCGGGGACGAAGGTGACCCAAGACACCGCCAATCTGTAACTCATAGTAATTTCAAGCAAAATTTTAATTAATTAATTTCAGTACAAATTTAGTCCAGAAGAAGTGAGAGTTATAAAAGAATGTAATCGGGAAAGTTTCTATCAACGGTGTTTGCCCCTGGGTGCCATTCTAGGCGTCTCCACATATTACGGCGTCAAGACAGGTGAGTCACAATCGTAATAACCCCACATTCAGTGTCATTTTTAGGTTACCTTCGTGGTAATCCCCGATTTGGGGCATTCCCCAAAGTCACAGTTTCGGTAATCGTGGGATACTTTCTCGGGAAATTCTCATATCAGTCAAAATGTGCGGAGAAACTCATGCAACTACCAAACAGTCAAATTGGTGAAATGTTGAGGAGACGAAGACAGGGGACTTTCCAAGAGAGGTTTGGTGTTTTGTATTGAAAATTAACACTAAGTTGGGGATTTTAGTCTAGAACCGGGTTTTGGGCCAGGGATGTCTTTGGGGCCTTTTAGTGGGATATCATCAAGTGATACATACACCGATTTGGGGCCTGGTAGTCTCGATCTTGACACTACTAGGCCACAATATGACGGATTAGATGACGCTCAAAGACCCTCAATTGATAGTAAATAAAACTCGTGTGTGATTTTTCATAAAACAATTATTTCAGACCCAATTTATGAAGAAGAAATGCCCCCAGTTCAGAAACATGTGACCACTTACGATGAATTAAGAAAGAAAAATAGAGAAGAATACCAAGAGAAACGAACTTTGAGTTATAGGGAACCGGCAAAGAGCCCCCCTGTATCATCCCCAACACCCCCAGATGTCTCAAATAAAAATAAATACGGGGACGTGTGGGAGTAATTAAGTATTAAACTGTAACAAAGTGTTTAATAAAACTGTAGTAACGTGAAATAATCATTGCAAAAATTAATTAAAAACTACCCAAAAAAGTATAGAAGTAGGCCTATTTTTGCATTTTTCCAGGGTTTAACACGTTTTTGAGCAGACTTGTAAGATTTATGTAAAAAATGTGAATCTTCGACAGTAATAAAAAAATTATTTGGTAACTTTTTTAGCTCAGATGTGGTGAATTTAATTGTTTTGAGCTGGCGACACTGCACATAATAATGTAGCGCCATCTTATCACGTTTATTTGAAAATTATTTTTTTAGTAGTAATAAATCACAAAACAGTTTTTACTGTTTGCTGCACCTTTTTCTAATTAACTAATGAATTCTAATTAGGGGAGCAGTGTTGCCAGGTCTGGTGAAATTTCACCAGATCTGGGGATTTTTGTACTATTAAAAACAAAAATTAACCCGTCACGCCAAACACAAGGTGGTCACCCTCAGGTGAAAAAAATTGCAAGATTTTGCTAAAACAAGCCAAAAAAACATCAAATTAAGTCATAATAACAGAAATTACACTTGTAACATTCCAGAAATTTTGTTCCACAGTTAAATTCTTGGTCGCAAGACTCAATTTGCATCTTCTTACCTTAAATAAAAAGATAATCAAATAAATAACAATTTTTGATCAGAGACCTTAAAGTGAGGTTAGGAATATTTTATGGCCAAACCACCTTAATTATTGTTATAAAATGATTGAAAATGTGTAAATAAATGACGAAAATTACACACTGAAGGAATAAAATGACAAACACCTATTTTTCAACAAACTTTTTATAAATTATGACAGCTGTCATCTCGCTATTTTTGTTAAAACAATATATATAATACTCTACTATTATATATATATGGTTAAAACATGTTGGTTCTGCAACTCTTTATACAATTTACTGGCGCAAGCGTGGTACACTTTTATTTTTCATTTGATTTTTTAAGTAAATTCGGTCAAAAATTATTAATTTTGGCATTTTGTACGTTTTTTTAGACATGAATAAATTCATATGCTAAATTTTGTCAAAAAGAAGTTAGAGGTAGTTTTGTTTTTCACTCAACAAAATTAAAATAGGTCAAAAATACATTATTTTGTCCATTTCTGAGCGTTTTTGGCCAGAAACAGAACTATTTTGCAAAATTTACCACTTACGATGAATTAAAAAAGAAAAATAGAGAAGAATACCAAGAAAAACTGTAACAAAGTGTTTAATAAAACTAGTAACTTGAAATAATCATCAATGGTGTATTTTCATGTGCTTTTGTAAGTAAAACTGAAACTTCCCTTTGTAGTCACACTGATCGCACTGAAACCACTTGACGTCCTCGGCATGTTGTTGGGTGAGATGCCGTTTCAGGAAATACTGAAACCGTGTCGTGAAAAAACAATGCGGACATTCGAAAGTTTTCGTTGAATGTGTTTTAAGATGTTTTTTTAAATTTGCTTCATTTCGACTTTTGTAGGGACAAATGTGACATGGGTGGAAACCACTCTCATTATATGTGTGTCTCATGTGAACATGTTGTTTCAGGGAGAATTTCAACTTGGCTTTATAATCGCATTGGTCACATTTGTACCATTCAATCGCTTCCATTGCTGTATGTCGTCGCAAAATGTGTCTTTTTAAATCCCCTGAATATCTGGTAGTGAAAGAACAGTGGGGGCAATCGTGTGAAGGGATAAGTTTCGACTTGAGAAGAGCAACAGCGACATGTTTAGTCTTGATGTGTTTTTTCAGGGCGAATGTGAACTTTGCTTGGTAGTCGCATTGGTCGCATTTGTACCATTGGATGGTTTCAGGGGCTGTATGACGTCTAATAATGTGTCGTTTCAAATCGACATGATGGCGTGTCTTGAAGGGGCATTGGGGGCACTCATGTGAGACTATAGTTTCAGGGGCTGCGTGATTTGTCGAAATGTGTCTTCGTAAATTTCTCTCTTTCTCAGTTTTGTACTGACAAAGATGGCAATAAAATAAAGTCGTTTCATTCTCGGTTTTGTGCTTAAGTAAGTGTTTGGTTAAGTTGGCTTCACTGTTGGTTTTATACTGACAGAAATTGCAGTAAAATAAGTACATTTTGTCGTCGAGATTGTGGACTTGTTTCAGGTGCATTGTAAAGTCGAGTTTAATTCGGGCCTTGTAATCGCAATGATCACATGCGAATTTTTGTTCATAGTTTCGGATTTTTCCAGAGTTTTGGGGGGTTGTGTGTTTTAAAGCGTGTCTTCGCAAATTCCATTTCTTCTTACATTTGTATTCGCATAAATTGCATTGAAATAACTTCTCAGATTTGTTAGTAATGTGCGAGAGAGAGTGTCTTTTTAAATTCCAACTATTTTTTGTCTTGTATTCACACGAATTGCAGTTAAATACTTTTCCTTCTCTTGACTTTACAAGTTCACATTTCGAGTCATGTCTCAGATAATGTAAAATTGAAAATGTCCTAAAATCACACTTATTGCACGTATAAAGTTTTGGTTCTAGTATCCCCCCTTCTGGGGGCTTCTCTAAATGTGTTTTGTTATGATAGTAGAGATAAGTCTGTAGATCTGTACGAAAATAACAGAAATTGCACTTGTAACATTCCAGAAATTTTGTTCCACAGTTAAATTCTTGCTCGCAAGACTCAGTTTGCATCTTCTGACCTAAAATAAAACGATAATCAAATAAATAAGAATTTTTGATGAGAGACCTTAAAGTGAGGTTAGGAATATTTTATGGTCAAGCCAGCCCAATTAATGTTATAAAATGATTGCAAAATGTGTAAATAAATGACGAAAATTACACAATGAAGGAATAAAATGACAAATACCTATTTTTCTACAAACTTTTTATAAATTATGACAGCTGTCATTTCGCTATTTTTGTTAAAACATGTTGGTTATGCAACTAATTATACGCAAGTGTGGTACACTTTTATTTTTCATTTGATTTTTTAAGTAGATTCAGTCAAAAATTATTAATTTTGGCATTTTGTACGTTTTTTTAGACATGAATAAATTCAAATGCTAAATTTTGTCAAAAAGAAGTTAGAGGTAGTTTTGTTTTTCACTCAACAAGATAAAAAAAATTGGTAAAATGGTTCAAAAAATACATTATGTTGTCCATTTCTGAAAGTTTTAGTATGTTTTTAGCCAGAAACAGAACAATTTTGCAAAATTTTGTTAAAAATAAACCGAAAGTTTATCAAATTAGGCCAAAACTAGTGTTATTTTTGCATTTTTAAAGTGTTTCAGCACGTTTTTAAAATACATTCAAATTTTTGCTAAAATTGACTAAAAAATTACGAAATTATCTATTTTAAAATAATTTTTATAAATTACCGCCCAAATGTTAGTAAAATTATCTTCTGTTATTCTTTTTTCAGTTCTCAAATAAAGAAAAATTAAATGTGTCACGGGACTCACAGGGGATGACAAAATTGAGCGACTTAAAAAAAATTGTTAATGTAAAAAATGTTTTTTAAATTCAAATAAAAGTTTAAATATGTTTTTTTGGAACCGATTAAAATGCTCTATGAATGACGAGTAGTTTTCGAGATTTTGACACATTTTGTAATGAATTTTTGGAATACTAAAAACTTTTTTTTTCAGTTCAAACAGAAAAAAACGGAAATGCGTCACAGGAAGGATAAGAATATTGAGTAACTTTTGTAAAAAAATTCGTTGTTGAAATACATAAAAAATTATCTTCTGTTATTTGATTTTTTAATTATTGATATAGTAAATTCATCAATAATGATGACACTATTTTTTTTTCTATTTTTTTAGAGCATTGTGTACGTTTTTTCAGCCATGCAGAAAGTCATACTTAATTTTCTCAAAAACAAGTTGAAAAATCGAGAGATTGTTTTGTTTTTTTAAATGATATTTTACTCAACAAGGTAAAAAAAATGCGAAAATGGGTCAAAAAGTATATTATTTTGTCCATTTATGAGCGTTTTAGTATGTTTTTAGCTCAAAACTAGTGTTATTTTTGCATTTTTAAAGTGTTTCAGAACGCTTTCAGAACAAACATTCAAATTTTTGCTAAAACTGACTGAAAAATTACGAAATTTGATTGAAATTAATATTATTTTAGCGTGTCTCACTCGATTTAGTTTGTTTTTGAACCAGAGACTCATTTATTTTACAAAAAAATTGTAAAACAACCTTAAACACAACAAAAATAAATCTAAATTCATGTTATTTCTTTTGTTTCATTCGATTTAGCTCTTTTTGAGTGAAATTTTGTCAAAAAAATTGAACGAAAAATCCAAAATATGGTCGAAAATGGTGTTAATTGCAAGATTTTTCTAAACAAACCAAAAAAACATAAAATTAGGTCATTTTTGCCTTTTTTGCCTTTATCAAGTGTTTTAGCATGTTTTTCTAGTTAAAACGTAAATATCGGGTAAATGGTTTGGTGTCAAAAAAATTTAATTTGGCAACCTTGACTTTCAAATTTAAACGTCAAACTTTTATAGACAATTGTCATTCATTTGCGACGGACGACTGCTGATTTAGCCGTCACCTAATAATTCTGATATAACAAATTTAGAATTACCACTAATTCAGTGTTGCCAACAGATTTTTTGACACTCGGTATTTCGCAAAATTTAATTAAAAACTATCCAAGAAATTATAAAATTACCTATTTTTGAGTTTTTCGAGCGTTTAAGCACGCTTTTGAGCAAATTTGTGAGATTTATGTAAAAAAACGTGAATTTTCAACAGTATTAAAAAAATTTAAATCATATAATCTTGTAATCTGGTGAAAATAGGTGTAAATCTGTTAACTTTACATTTCATATCTAATGAATATAATTATTTTGAGCATTTTGGCAAACTTGAGACTTAAAGTTATTTTTTTTAGGTTTTGTGCCATTTTTTCGTCATTATGTTATATTTACTTGGTTTTAATATACATTTTTAATAAAAAATTACTCTTTTCACTTATGCAATGTCTGTTATTGTTGCATAAAATGAAGTTGTACAAACTATGAAAGTAATTGTTTATTTATCAGCATAAGCGAAAAATTTTTTAATTTGAAAGCTACAATTTTTTGCTGTTTTATCGGTGTTTGAACAACAATATAAACATAGTAATTTTGTAAAAATTACAATAAAAAAGTAACATAAACTATTTTTGTTCCAATCTAGTGAGGATCTGTAGAAACCATCACTTTTAAATGTCACAACACCTCAAATTATTGTATCCTTCTTTCATAAATATAATGGCAAAAGCAAAATGCCACAACTGCGAGACAAAATGTGGTAAAGGCAAAATAAATCCCGAAGTTTTAATAAAACTAGAGGATGGATTTCGAAGATTAGCAACTTCAAATTCCCAATCACTTTTAAAAAAATACTTGACACAATCTGTTTTTGACAAATTGAAAAACAAGAAAACTGGTTTTGGTTCCACCCTTTTGGACTGCATCCAATCAGGTCTCGAGAATCCCGATTCAAATATCGGCGTTTACGCCCCTGATCCCGAAGCTTACACCGTTTTTGCCGACATTTTCGACCCCATAATCGACGAGTACCATGGAGGGTTCAAAAAGACCGATCAACACCCCCCTAGCACTTGGGGGGATTTAAAATCGATCGGGGATGTGGACCCCGAACAGAAATATGTTGTTTCGACAAGAATTAGATGCGGGAGGTCTTTGGCAGGCTATCCCTTCAACCCTTGTTTGACCGAAGCCCAATACAAAGAAATGGAGAAGAAAGTCTCAGGGACTTTGATGTCACTAAGTGGGGAATTAAAGGGGAAATATTACCCTTTGACGGGGATGTCAAAACGGGATCAACAACAATTAATCGATGACCATTTTTTGTTCAAGGAGGGTGACAGATTTTTACAAGCAGCTAATGCTTGTCGATTTTGGCCCACAGGAAGGGGAATTTTCCACAATACGAATAAAACGTTTCTGGTTTGGCTCAACGAAGAGGACCATTTGAGGATTATCTCCATGCAACCTGGGGGGAATGTTGGGGATGTCTACCAAAGACTGGTTTGTGCCGTTGAGGAGATTGAAACCAAGTTGAAGTTTTCGCGGAGTGACCGGTTTGGTTACTTGACTTTTTGCCCGACTAATTTGGGTATGTAGTCATAAAAATAGTGGTCAAATAACGAAAATTCCGACAGGGCTAAATTTTGGTGGAAACTTTGGGTACACTATTGGAAATAAAGTATCAAAAGTCCCCATCGATCCCATGTGTGCTAAAAAAGTTATTCGGGGTCAAAGGTCAAATTTTGACGTTTTTTAAATTTTTTTCGAAAACGGTAAGTTTTATCAAAAAAGTAGCCCAGACAAAAATTATAGATCTTAAAATTATCTACAAAAATGGTCTTTATACTTTTTTTCTAAGAATCACCATTCCTGAGATATTGCGATTCTAATAATTGAAAGAGTCATGTTTTACATGATATGTACATACAGAGTGCGCCAGAACTCACGTCCCAAAGACAAATGCCATGTAGGGTAAGGTACCAGGAACATAGAAAAAATTAAAAAAAAAATTTATCTATAAAAATTTCAAAGTTATGAGAGTTTAAATTTTGCACTTTGACTCTTATTTATTTCTGTTGGAAAAATAATTTTTCAAGTTTTTTTGCTACAGGCTATTAGAAGCGGAAACAAGGAAGCTGTATCCTAACTTGTAACTCTGTTTAATGTTATTTGTGGCTTTTAATGACATAATTTTTGTACTTTTACTAAATAATTATAAAAAAAACGTATACAAAATCATCAGTATTATTACATAGACATAAAAAATCTCAAATGTCAAAATTTTTTGGCAGAGAATTTTTTAAACATTTTTTCAGTACTCTGGAGACTACTCAATTACTCCCTTTCAAGGAAGTGCGCGATTTTTTAAACACCCTGTATGTATTACCAAATATTTTTTTTTAAATTAATGGAATCGAGATATTTATAAGATTAATGAAATAGAAGAAAAATTTGAAGTAAGATAAGATACTAAACATAAAAAATGTTAAAAAAATTCTATCTGTCAAAAAAATTTGACATTTGTTTTTTGACAATTGACATTTTTTTATGTCTATTTAATAATACTGATGATTTTGTATATTTTTTTTTACAATTATTTAGTAAAGGTACAAAACTTTTGTCAATAAAAGCCACAAATGACATTAAACAGAGTTACAATTTAGGATACAACTTCCTTGTTTCCGCTTCTAATAGCCTGTAGCAAAAAAAACTCGGAAAACTCGGAAATAAGAGCCAAAGTGCAAAATTTAAACTGTCATAACTTCGAAATTTTTATAGATAGAATGTTTTTTTATTTTTTTTATGTTCCTGGGACCTTACCCTACATGTCTTTGGGGCGAGAATTCTGGCGCACTCTGTATGTAGAACGTTACTCCTTCAACTTTTAGAATCGCGATATCTCAGGAATGGTGATTCTTAGAAAAAAAGTATAAAGACCATTTTTGTAGATAATTTTAAGATCTGTAATTTTTGTCTGGACTACTTTCTTGATAAAACTTACCGTTTTCGAAAAAAATTTAAAAAACGTCAAATTTTGACCTTTGACTCCAAATAACTTTTTTAGCACACATGGGATCGATGGGGACTTTTGACACTTTATTCCTAATGGTGTACCCGAGATCTCTACCAAAATTTAGCTCTGTCTGAATTTTAGTTATTTGAAATGTCAATTGGACCGGACTAATGATTTTTTTTTTTTTTTTAAATGAATTATTAATTTAGGTACGACGATAAGAGCTTCGGTGCATATTCAAGTGCCTAAATTGGCTAAAGATAAGGCGAAATTGGAAGCGGTTGCAAATCAGTTTAATTTGCAAGTGAGGGGGACTAGAGGAGAGCACAGTGAGGCTGAGGAAGGGGTTTATGATATTTCGAATAGGAGGAGATTGGGGCTTACGGAGTATGAAGCCGTGAAGGAGATGCATGATGGGATTTTGAAGATTATTGAAATGGAGAGTTGCATGTGATAAATAAAAAATACATTTTTGTGAGGTTTTTTAATAAAAATTTAAAAACGATATTTAGTTATTTTTTCTCGCTACTCAGTAGTGTATTTTTTCAATTTTTTTAACATAAAAATCAATTTTTTAAAATTTAGGAACTTTTGTCTTATTATAAATGTCACAAAGATTGAAAAATTCGATTTTCGAAGTATTAAATCGCAAAATTTTGTTGAATTAACGATGAATACTGCAAATATTTCAGGCACACCACCTGAAATAAGAGAAATTGCTCGAAACGCCGCTGAAAAGCACCATTTCCAACCTATAGAAAGTAAATAGTACTAGTCTATTTCAGCACCCGAATTGGTGTTGAAATGGCTCATTAAAGCATCGGTTTTGGTATCAAAATAAGCTTTCTTTCAGACGCAAAATAAAAATTCTATTTCATTTGTTGACTAGAAAATTTTAGTTTGATTACATTGGGTATAATGTGTATAAAAAATTAAGTAAAATTTCATAATTTATTGCTACTGAACTTTGTCTCGTGCCAAAACATTGCAAAAATTATTTCAAAATAAAGATAATCAACAACTTATTAATAAAATGTCAATGTTTTAAATTTTGCAATAGACACTTGGAATAATTCTCGCAATTACAGAGTATTGATGAGCAAAGTGCATTTAAAAAAAAAATAAAAAAACATCCGTTATGAAAAATATTTTACGGTGGTATAAAAAAACTAAAATAACTTTTAGAAAGAAAAAAATTGCATTTTCATTTCTGAAATTGGACACTTATTTTGGAACAAAGAAAGTAATAATTATAAAAAATGCAACCGGTCCAAACGTGAGCTGAATTTTTTCTCTTCATGTGAAATTAGTCTGTTAAACTTTATTTACAGTTTTTTTTTATCAAAATAAAAAAATTATTGCTAAAATTTACCGCCTCTTAAATTTTCTATTTATCAGAAATCGAAATTGCGAATAATTCTGGATTTTTATTGTGGCAAGAAAAAAAAAATCTTATTTATATTTATATTATTTATATATCGAAAAAGTCGTTAAAGAACATATTAAAATAGAATTTTTAAAGTCACATTAAACTTATTAAATCACTAATCTTCGACTTAATTGAAACAGTACAGTTTTCGATTAACCAAAAATAACAAACAATAATGGATTATTTGTTTTGTTTTGTCCAAAATTAAGACCAAATTATACTTATAACGGGTTTACGACGCATTTTCTCTACGGATACAACCAAATATTGATGACCCTGATTTTTCTTAAGATTGTGAATGACTTTTTAAAATACCAAATTATTAATTGCTGGAAAGTAAGTAATAGTTATTTATCTGTTTTATTTGCTCAGTTTTTTTTCCATAACTATAAATTTTAAATTACACTTGAATACGTTTTTTGCAAATTACTATGAATATGTCTAAGAATGGAAAAAAGAAAATAAGGGAAACACTAAGTAAATGATTTATTAAAAATAAAAGTACAGTTTTAAATCTTTATTTTTGCATATAAAAAGCAAGAAAGAGCAACTCTCTACTATACACAATCATCAACAAGTCATTAAAATCGTTTTATGAATAAAACATTTGAGATTAACCAATACTCATTAAGTCTGAAATAATTACAGAATAGTAGAGTTGCTCATTTATCAGAAATACTAATAATTCTGATTGGCTGTTTTATTTATTCTCCTTGGAACAACAACATAGCAAAATAGGAAAAAAATAACAAATTTGCGTTTTAATAAAATAAAAACGATCTCGAAAACCAACCAATAATTAACAAAACGCGACTATTTGCTGTACTTCCCCTAAATCAGTGACACAACGAAAACAAAATCAGGCAAAAATTTTTTAGTGGTAGTAATAGTACTAAAATTATATTCTAGAAACAGCCAAATTTAATAATATTTGCATTTGTGTTCAATTGTAAAAAAGTTAAATGTGGTAGAAAAAAAATTGTAGGTATTTTATTTTTAATGTGATAAAAATTTTAATTCAGCAATAATAATTATTTCTGGTTGTTTTAAACGAGGCCATTTTTGCGGAGATTATAGAAAACTAAAACATAAAAAGCGGAGATTTGTGACACCTGGAATAAAAATTTAAGTAAAAAAACAAGTCAAAATGCACACACCGAAACAATAAGTTGGTAATCTACACAAATCTCGGTCAAAACAATACAATTCGTCATAAATATCAAAAAAAATTAATTTCTCAACATGATGAAAGGATCTGAAATTTAACAAATTAATAATTTACTTATGATTTATCCCCAGTTATTACCATTGAATTTTGGCACCACTTTGTGTATTGAAAACCCTTCGCTGTACTATAATTCCAAATCTTTTGAACTGACAAATATTGGAATATCATTAAATAAAGGCAAAATAAAATATTTGGCTAAACTCTTAAAATCATTATTATCTATTTACAGAAAATTACAGTTTAATACGATTAGTAATACGATTAGCTACAAACAAAATTGCTATAGTTATTCTAAAAAGTTGATAACTTTTTTTATACAAAATTAAAAACAAATGATTATTGATAGTTGTGAATTGCTCAAAGAGAGAAACGAAAAAATCTCTCAGTAAAACATTTATTTGTTTTTCAACTTTTAACTACAATCAGCGTAGAAAAAATTGTCCTCTTAATAAACCTAGAAACCACACCCATTGTAAACGTCATTTCTTAATCAACAATATATTTAGTTTGAAGTGAAGCTCAGTTACCGATTTTACTTTCAATTGAGTAAACAACAAATTATTTTAAAAAATTCACAACCTTATACTATAACTAAAAATTCAATTAAAAAATAATTATAATTGATGTTTAATTAG